GACCGTCTACGGCAGCGTGGAGTTTATCTTGGGGGACTTTGGGGCACCTTTGGGGACTTGGGATGCATTTTTGAGGCACCTTGTTCCCCAATCAGGGCTTGCCTCTGTAGGGGTCCCAGCGGATTCATATGGTTAGGTGAGGTGCGGCGCCGATTTGGTGGCCGGCGGCCGGGTGCCCGGGGGTGCCCGGGGGTGCCCGGGTGCCCGGGGGTGCCCGGGTGTCCAGGGGTGCCCGGGGGTGCCCGGGTGCCCGGGGGTGCCCGGAGGTGCCTCGGGGTGCCCGGGTGCCCCTGGGTGCCTGGGTGCTCGATCGCTCTATAGCCCTATAGTTCTATAGCCCTATATCCCTATAGGCCTATAGAGCTATAGACCTATAGCCCTATAGCCCTATAGCCCTATAGCCCTAATATCCCTATAGCCCTAAAGCCCATATAGCCCTATAGTCCTTATGCCCTATAGCCCAATCGCCCTATAGCCCTATAACCCTATAGCCCTTATGGGCCTATAGCCCTATAGCCTTATTGCCTTGTAGCCCTATAGCCCTATGTTCCTATAGCCCTATAGCCCTATAGCCCTATAGTCCTATAGCCCTAGCCCTATGGTCCTACAACTGTGTAGCCCCATAGCCCTACAGCCCTAGAAATATTATGATTGTTTTTTTTCTCGGGTATTATAATCTTTCTTTATGACGCTCTTGGGGCGCTCTTGTGGGCCTTCGGGCTCGTCTTGGAACCCTGCTGTGCTCCTCTTTACTGTAGGGAGATGTTGGAACCATTTCTCGACTTCAAAAGTCCATCGGAAGCAGAAGTGCGAGAATGCACAGCGCATTTAGTGCTTCGAGAACATTGGGGCATTTCGAGAGCATCCCTTGGAGGCTCCGTGGCCACTGGGAATCATCTTTGGTCTGTTTTGGGGCCGCTTGGAGGTATATGCTGAACGCCAGCTTGCGCCAACTTGGACCATCTCGCGCCATCTCGGAGGCAAGCATTTATCCGCGAGAGGCCCATCTCCTTCAAGCACATTGGCTCCCCATGGATCTTGCTTGTTTGAAGCAAGGGGTGGTACTCCATAGCCTCGCCCCGTCGGAGCCGGAACAGTCGCCTCTTGCGGCCCTCTTGGGGCCCCCTTGGGGCGCTCTTTCAACCGGACTGAAGTGGGGCCTTTCAGGACACCTTTTCGGGGGCTCTTTTTGAGCGATGTCGGGGCCATCGTGAGGCTTCTGAATCCCATTGCAAGCGAAGATGCGAGACAGCAATCGTGATTGAAAGATCCCAGGCTTTGAAGGGTTTTGGCCTCTCGGGCATCCTTGGGATGCTCAGTGCCCACCTAGCCCCAGGCACGGTGGCGGGGTGGGCCGAAGGCCAATGAACGGCCCAAGACGTCCAAGATGGCCTGCAGACAGCCCAAGAGGCCCCTGAGATACCCAAGAGGCCTCCAAGAGGTCTCCCAAGAGAGCTCTAACAAGCCAGAAAGCATTGAGATTCCTCGGGTTGTCGAGCAATTTTGGCGTTTCCGCCTGTTCCGCTTCCCGACACTGTAAGACGCCCCAGAAGTCCTCGAGGATCGCCCCAAGACGGCCCATTAGGCTTCAAGATCGCCCCAAGACGGTCCCAAGACGGCTCCAAAACGGCCGAAGAGACGTCCAAGACGGCCCGAGGGGGCCCCAACCACGGCCCAGGATCGGGAACGTGAGCCGAGCACCCGAGATCTTCTCCTCAGGAGACCCCCAGGAGGCCTCAAGAGGTCCCCAAGAAGCCCCAAGGAGGCCCAAAGAGCCCCAAAAGAGACCCCGAGGACAATTGAAAAAAGGGGATTCCAACATTTCTTAATTTTTTCAAGTTTGCCTGGCAGCTTGGCTACGCTTGCAAACAACAAATATCACATTTCCTCATCCTCCTCTTCCTCCTCCTTCTGTTCCTCCTCCTCCTCTTGGTCCTTCTGTTCTGCGGCCTCCTCCTCCTCCTCCTCCTCCTCTTCCTCCCCCAGGAAACCCTTTCACCTCCCCTTTTCCTCTCTCTCCCTTCTGCTTCGTCCAGTGGGTGAGCCGTAGGAAGTCTTGGAAGCCACTTGGGCCGCCTTCGTGGGTAGTGGAAGCCCCGGAGAAGGAAGTATCATAAAATACCAGAGATGAAGTATCATGAAATACAGGTCCCCGAGAATTCGACCATCCAGCCGAGCTAGAATTTGAGCGCGCGCCAAAGGCGCGCGATGGTTCTAGATAGATCGACATGTTTATGTGTGTCCACGCATCTATGCATGTATGTATACACATCGGAGGTGAGGGGGTGAGATCGAAGTGGAACGGAGAGCCCCCCTACGGAGAAATCGGTTTCGGTTTCGTGTTCGTGCGTGCCGTGCGTGCGGGCGAGGCGAAGCTGCGTGGGCGGGCGAGAAATAAGTCTCCTGTAGCTGAGGCGTGGCTGGACCAAAAATCTCCCTTCGGCAACCGGTGCCCCGCGGTGTCCCGCCGGTGTCCCGCTCGGGGGCCGGTGGCGCGCGGTGTCCCGCCAGAGTCCCGCCGGTGTCCCGTCGGTGTCCCGATGATGATGATGATGATGATGATGATGATGATGATGATGATGATGATGATGATGATGATGATGATGATGTTGATGATGATGACGATGATGATGATGGTGATGGTGGTGATGATGATGCCCCGATGATGATGATGATGCTGACGATGTTGATGATGATGATGATGATGATGATGATGGTGATGGTGGTGATGATGGTGCCCCGATGATGACGGTGATGATGCTGTTGATGATGTTGATGATGTTGCTGATGATGATGATGATGGTGCCCCGATGATGATGATGATGTTGATGATCCTGATGATGTTGATGATGATCAGAAGATTTGATGATGATGATGATTCAGGTGATGATGATGATGGTGTCCCGATGATGATGCTGTTGATGATGATGGTGATGATGATGATTGTGTCCCGATGATGATGATGACGATGATGATGATAATGATGATGACGATGATGGTGTCCCGATGATGATGATGATGTTGATGATGAGGATGAGGTGATGATGATGATTTTGATGATGGTGGCCCAATGATGGTGATGATGATGCTGATGTTGTTGATGATGATGATGGTGTCCCGATGATGTTGATGATGATGATGATGGTGATGGTGATGGTGATGGTGATGATGATGATGATGATGATGATGATGATGATGATGGGGACGATGATGATGGTGTTCCGATGATGATGATGATGTTGATGATGATGATGGTGCTGATGATGATGATGATGATGATGATAGTGTCCCTATGATGATGATGATGATGATGATGATGATGATGTTGATGATGACGTTGATGATGTTGGTCATGATGATGATGATGACGATGATGATGGTGCTGATGATGATGGTGATGATGATGGTGTTCCGATGATGATGATGATGATGATGATGATGATGATGATGGTGTTCCGATGATGATGATGACGATGATGATGATGATGATGGTGACGATGATGGTGTCCCGATGATGATGATTGTGATGATGATGTTGATGTTGATGATGATGGTGATGAGGTGATGATGATGATGGTGCCCCGACGATGCTGATGATGTTGATGACGTTGATGACGATGCTGTTGATGATGATGATGATGATGATGATGATGATGATGATGATGATGATGATGATGATGATGATGATGGTGATGATGATGATGATGATGATGATGATGATGATGATGATGATGATGATGTGGATGACGTTGATGGTGATATCCATTGTTATATCGATAGTGAGATCGATAGTTTGACCGAATGTGAGATCGATTGTGAGATCGATAGTGAAATCGATAGTGAGATCGATTGTGATCGATAGTCAGATCGATTGTGAGATCGATCGAATGAAATAGATCGAGGGAGATCGACTGTGAGATCGATCGAGTGAGATCGATCGAACGAGACCGATAATGAGATCGATAGTGAGATCGATCGTGAGACCGATCGAGTGAGACGTTGGTTCCTCCCCCCCCCGAACCTCCTTATCACCCGAAGGGTGGTCGTATAGGTACGTATATCGAATGGCCGCTGGCCCGTCCCGCCGCCGTGCCTGGGTTGTGGGTCAGAATTCTCAGGGATGCTTCTTGGAGTCTCTTCGGGGCGCTCTCGGGGGTCTCTGGGGGGCAGTTTTGGGACCTCTTTCGGGAGCCTCTTGGGGGCCTCCTGGGGGCCTCTTGAGGGCCACTTGAGGGCTCTTGGGGGCCTCTTGGGGGCCTCTTGGGGCCTCCTGGGTGCCGTCTTGGGCGCCTCCTGGACCGTCTTGGGGCCCCGTTTGGGCCGTTTTGGAGGGCTCCTGGAGCCCCCCCCGGGCCGCCTCGGGGCGATCTTGGGCCTCCAGGGCTGCCTGCGAGCGCGGGGAAGCCGAAAAGGCGAGAAGGCCAAGACCCTTCAGGAGCTTCAGGACGGGCAGTGATTTTGGCCTCTTGGAGCCTTCCTGGGAGGCCTCTTGGAGGCCTCCTGGGACGTCTTGGAGGCCTCTTGGACCGTCTGGGGGCCACTGTGAGCGCCTGGGAGCGATCGTTCGGCAATTCGGGGCTCTCTTGGGCCGTCTTCAGGGCCCTCTTGTGTTGGGGCAGTCTTGGGTCCGAAGCGGTCACGCGACAAGACGTGGGAAGGCCCGGGAGTTCTGTGAACTGGGGCTGCGGGCCCCTTGAACACTTCTCAGGGGTGCATAAGGGATTTGGCAAAGGACCAGAGGACACGCCAACTCCGTGCCCAGCGGCACGGTGGCGGATGTATGTATGTATATTCATATATTCATATATATATATATAAATAGGTGTAGGGATATTGATGATTGTCGTGCTGCGCCGCGAGTGTGTTGGTTTTGGGAAACCATGGCAGCGATCCAAAGCGGGTTTTTTATTCCGTCGCTGCAGGCGAGACCCGACTTGCTGCCACTGCCACGCTCCTGTTCCCATCCTTTCTCCACCCCGTCTCCCTGGCCGAGCACCGAGGTGCTCACGGACATGCACGTGATGTGGTGGGAGGGTCCGACAGACAAGGACGTAAAACCAGACGGCTGCTACTGCCTGCTGGAGTGGCCGGACATGACACTAGTCCAGGAGCCCGCGGGCGAGGGAGAAGGCAAGCCAGAGGACGACGGGGAGGATCAGGAGCTTTGTTTTATCTTCTTGGGATGCATGCGTGCCCATCCTGCCCTTGGTTTGTGTTTGCATGGTACCTAGGAGGTAACTGGGAAGTGAGAACTTAGGAGGGTGAAGCAGAAGTAGGAGACAACAATCAGAAAGATGAGGAGGATGAGAAGAAGGATGGGGAAAAGTAAGAAAAGGCTGCTGGTCATGGGAGGGAGAGGAGGGCGGATCTGGGGGATAAGGGGTGCACACAGGATGGTGATGGTGATGGTGATGCCGGTGGTGATGAAGATGGTGATGGTGACCATGTTCTTTTCGCTGATTATGATTGCGATGCTGATGCGGCAGATCATGATGTTCATGAGGTTGAGGATGGTAGTGGTGGTGAAGATGCCGATAGTGATTGTTATGATGACGGTGATTGTGATTAGTATGACGACGATGACCATGATGATGATAATGCTGATGATGATGACGATGTTGATGATGATGTTGATGGTGTTGATGATGATGCTGCTGCTGCTGATGATGATGATGATGATCGTGATGATCATGATGATGATGAGGAGGATGAGGAGGAGGACGCGGAGGAGGAAGGAGGAGAAGGAGGAGGCAGGCCGGACCCCTGGGCTCGGGCCAACATGTCTGCGGACTCTCTTGCTCCTCTTCCTGCTCGTCCGCGTTGGTCACGTGGGAGGAAGAGGATCCGCAACCATGCTGGCCGAACCCATGCGGTCCCTGGCCTGCTCGCCCCAGTGGCCCAGGGGCAGGCTGAGCCAGAGAGGGGCGCCCGGGTTCGTCCGGGCATCCAGGCTGCGCCGTGCTGGCGTGCGGCACCGCACGTTTAGCAGGGGGGGACCAGCAGTACCAGGCAAGGGTTCAATCAGGGCTTAGGGCCCATGTCTTCGCCTGGGCAAGATTCATGCACCTTTCCTATCTGATAGACGTCCCTCGCTCGCAACGGAGAGATGCACATTTGTGCCAACGATGATGACGAGGATTTGCGACGAGAGACGACAACTGGCGCGCGCGGGCCATGTTGCGCCAATGATCATCAATGTCCAGGGGTAACGGGAGAGCCTGGGAGAGTTTGGGAGCGCCTGCAGGCGCCTGAGACCAAATTGGGAGCGACCAGGATCAGTTGGGAGCGTTTTGGAACACCCACGAGCGCCTAGCGGCGCTTGAGAGCGCATGGGGGCGCTGGGGGGCGCTTGGCGACGCTTATGAACGTTTTTTTTTAGCATGGTGCATGGGATCCTGCGACGTGCGGTTCTTGACCCTGTGCGCGCGGGTTGACCGCATGGCATGGCCGCCAGGATACCGCCTTGTAGTATTCTTCCACACAGGATCGCAGAGGTCGCGAAGCACCCACGTCCACCGCTTGCCGCTCTTTGCATCGGGTCGTGGAATGTTCGGTTCTGCCACGGCGACCGCGCGCGGCGCCGCTGGGGACCTGGGGCCGCACAGGGCTCAGGGCTCGCAGTCGTAGCGTCCGCTCGCTAGAGGGCGAAACCAGCGGCACATACACCTCAGGCGATGCTTAAGAAAGCTGAAGTTTTCGTCCAAAGTCACGATTATTCTTAACTTTTCAATGTAAATCCCAAGATTTGTTGATAGAAGTTCTGGGTTTTATTCAATTTCTGAGACCATGAATTTCTTAACCCATGATTTCTTAAGCATTTCGCAGGGTGTACAGAGCTTTCGACGGCCCCCGCGGGTTTCTTTTGGCCTCCGCGGGACCTCCCGCGCGGCGCCGCTGGAGTCCCGCGCAGCCCCGAGGCCGAGCCGCCCCCCGGGACCCGGCTTGGATCTCGTCGGGACTCCGCGCCCCGGGGCGGCCCCGACCTGGCTGGAGCAGGGCTCGGGATCCGATGCATAGGAAGAAGCAGGCATCCCCGGCCTGGCTGGAGCAGGCCTCGGGATCCAATCCATGGGAATAAACAGGCATCCTCGACCCTCCTCGACCCTCCCCTCGACCCTCCTCGACCCTCCTCGATCCCCCTCGATCCTCCTCGATCCTCGAGCCTCGATTTTCGATCCTCACCGATCCTCGACCCTCCCCGCTCCTCCCACGGCCCTCCCCGAAGAGCCTCGACCCTCGAGAGGCCCCGCGCCCGCCGCTCGTGGGCGAAGACCTCTCGACCTCTCGGCCCCGGGCCCCCGACCTTCCTCCTCCTCCTCCTCCTCCTCCTCCTCCTCCTCCTCCTCCTCCTCTCGACCTCTCGACCTCTCTTCCCCCGGACCCGTTTCTCGTCCCGAGCCGCTTCGCTGACGGGTCGAGGCCAGGCAAGGGGCCCAGGAGGGGCCGAAAGCCAGCGAGCGAAGCACGGTATGTGAACGAAACCTTCCGCCGTCGGGGGCGCCTGCCCCTGGGCGCCTGGAAAGTTTATACCCCTACGGTGCCACCGTGAGGGTATAAACTTTCCAGCCGCCCAGGGGCAGGCGCCCCCGACGGCGAAACAGTCTCTGTTATTGAATCGCTTCGCTCATTCCGCCCGCCCATTTCGCATGACTGAGCCTCTTGGGGCCGCTGGGGGGCCTCTTCAGCGTCGCTTGGGGGCCTCCTGAGGGCCTCTTGGGGGCTTTTGGGGCCTCTCAGGGGCCTCTTGAGGCCTCCTGGGGGGGGCTTCTTAAGGCCGGGGGCTCGAAGTTTTGTTCTGTGCTCCCCCTTTGGGGCATCGCTTGGGGCCCTCTTGGGCCCCTCTTGGGCCGTCTTGGATGCCTCTGGGGCCATCTTGGCGCCCCCGACGGCGAGAAAGTTTATGTTATACCGCTCTTCGCCCGTGAAGAAAGCCAGGAAGAGCCGCAGCCGCGACGTCTCCGAGGCGCCCGCGGCCTGCGGAGCTGCTCGCCGCCCGCGGGGCGGGTGCCCACGGCGGGCCGCCCCTCCTCGTCGAGCGTCGCCGCGGGGGCCCCGCGGGCCCCGCGGGGCGTCGGGGCCGCGGCGTCGGGGCCGGCGAGGGCTCCTCCCGCGTGGTAGAGGCTGCACTGCGTGGCGCAGTGCACCACGAGCAGCGATAGTCAGGAGGAAAAGAAACACGCAGACACAAGGAAGCCTCGATCCCCCAGAAAAAATGCAGGAGAATATATGGGAAGGGGGGGGGGAAGACAGAAGCCCAGAAAATGTTGGAAACTCTGGGGAATCTTTTTATCTGTGTGTATTTATTTGTGTGTCCTGGGGCCCCTTCAGATAGGGGGGGGGGTAGGCATAGGGGGGGGACGCATGGACCTCCAACCGCCCGTGGGTCGCCGAGTAGCGCCAGCCTGCCCAGCGACGTGCGGACTCACCAGGAGGGGGCCTCTCGCCGATCCATCGGCGATGCATCGCCGATTCCAGGTCGATGTTCCCCCCCCCCCCCCCCCCTACACTCCAGGCGATGCTTAAGAAAACCCAAGTTTTCGGCCAGAGTCTCGATTTTTCTTAACATTTCAATATCAATCTTAAGATTTCAATGGAAATGTTGGGTTTTTATTCAAGTTCTGAGACTATGAATTTCTTAACCCATGATTTCTTAAGCATTTCGCAGGGTGTATGCCAGTCCCCCCCAATCGTTGCCCGTCAGGTCATCGGCTCGGGGCCCTCGTGGGTTGGATGCCGTCCGTGGGCTCCATCGGCGCACAGCGGGCGTCCTTGGGGGCCCATCGGTGCCGCCGGGGGCTGTCAGGGGCCCAGTCCTCCTCTCTCCCTTCTCTCCCCTCCTCCTCTCCCTCCCCTCTCCCTCCTCCTCCTCCTCCTCCTCCTCCTCCTCCTCCTCCTCCTCCTCCTCCTCGCCTCCCGCTTGGTAGAGGCTGCAGTATTTACTTTGCATCTTGGGGGGACCTTTCCTATTTCGTAAGTTGTAGTCTTTGCTGGTTCTCCAACGTGGGTTCGACGCGGATTCGATGTGCATTCGACGTGGATTCGACACGGATTCGATACGGACTCGACGCGGATTCGATATGGACTCGGCGCGATCGTCACGGATTCGACACAGATTTGGTTCGGATCGAGGCGGATTTGGCATGGAATTGACACGGAGATCCAGCACAACATTGCGTGCGCAGGTCATTGGCTCGGGGCGGGCCGCCTCCGTCCTTCTGGCCCGACCGTGCGAGTGTGCCGGTTCAGAGGTTGCATTTGTGTGCGTCTCGGTATTTGAGTCATCGGCATTGGGGGAAGCATCCCTTTGCAGTTCTCTTTTCTTCTAACTTCTCTCCCTTCTTCTCCCCTTCCTTTCTCATCCTCGTTTAGCTGCCACTCTTGCGCCCGTTCCTGCTCTTCCTCGTCTCCCGCCGCCCTCTCGGCCCAAGAAACCATCCGCTACCGGTGCTCGCCATTTAGGCCCAGGAAGGCGGCCGGGGAGTGCGCGGCTGCCCGTGCAGCCGCACATCTTCATCTCGGCGGCACACCAACAGACAAATTCTAACGCGCGCACCGAGAAATCTTACAGCATATGCGTCGAGGTGGGCGCTTTCTGGCCGTACCGCTCGGGAAACGATATAACACAAGATGGTTCCACCACGTGTTCGGATCGGACGCACGCCCCCGAGGAGAACGCAGAGCACCAGTAGGTCCTCGTGCGTCCCATCGTCATCCCCTTTGGACTAGGAGTCGCAGCCAAGCTTCCCTCAGAAGGGCCACTGAGAGAGAACGTGACAGCGAAAGTCAACGGGCGAAGAACGGTACAACATAAACTTTTTCGCCGTCGGGGACACCTGCCCCATGGGCGGCTGGAAAGTTTATACCACTACGGTGCCACCGTAAGGGCATAAACTTTCCAGCCGCCCATGGGGCAGGCGCCCCCGACGGCGAAAACAAGTGTATGTCATGCCGTTCTTCGCCCGTTAAGAAAGGGGAGGGCGGCGCCTGCCACACCGGAGCCAGCACTGGCCCGCTCAGCTCCTGCATCGGCCGGCCTGCGGCCCCCCCGGGGGGGGGGCCTCTCCTCCCGGGGGGGGGGGGGCCTCCCGGGGGCCCCCGCGGGCTGCCC